CCTGAGCTGAAACCAAGAGTCCCATGCTTAACTGACTGCACCACCCAGGCACCCCACAAAAGTTAACATTTTAAAGGAAAAAATGACATGTTGAAGTATTTTTTAAATTACAGTACATAAAAATGTTTTAAGTGTGCCATTTTGGGTAGTTTGTAATGTGGTCAATATTTTAATAAGTTTTAGCCACAGGCAATAGGGAGATATTCATTGGCAATGTATTTTGACTTTAATGAAGTATTATAAGTCTCTCACTAAGTAATTTTCAGTTATAATCTGAAATTTTTCTTTGAAAATTTTCCTCAAAATTCACAGGAAATTCCACTTGTTCATGCTATTTCTTCATAATAAAAGACTTGCTTTAAGTGTCAATTTACTCATGATATTAATTAATCACATAATAAAAAGTCAATACCCAACAATACAAACTATAGAAATTTAGGGATATTAAATTATTCCATACTGTACAGAAAGAGACCAGAGACATTTTAGGTGAACTGATAATATTAAAGCCCTTCTATTTTTGGCAAAATAATCTCTTTTTTCCAAGTTTTTATTTAAATTCCAGTTAGTTACCATACAATGTAACATTGGTTTCAGGTATAGAATTTAGTGATTCATTACATACATAAAAAACCCAGGGCTCATCACAAGTGCCCTCCCTAATACCTATCACCTATTTAACCCATCCCCCACCCACCCCCTCTCCAGCAACCCTCAGTTTGTTCTCTATAGTTAAGAGTCTGTTTTACAGTTTGCCTCTCTCTTTTTTCCCCCACTATGTTCATGTTTCAGTTTTTAAATTCCACATATTAATGAAATCTTACAGTATTTGTCTTTCTCTGACTTACTTCACTTAGCATAATACTCTATGGCTCCATCCACGTTGTTGCAAATGGCGAGATTTCATTCTTTTGATGGCTGAGTAACATTTCATTATATACTGCTTCTTCTTTATCCTTTCATTAGTTGATGGACATTTGGGCTCTTTCCATAATTTGGCTATTGTTAATAATGCTGCTATAAACATTGGGGTGCCTGTATCCCTTCAAATCAGTAAATACTTAGTAGTACAATTGCTGGATTGCAGGGTAGTTCTATTTTTAACTTTTTGAGGAAACGCCATACTGTTTTCCAGAGTGGCTGCATCAGTTTGCATTCAAAAAACAGTGTAAGACAGTACCCTTTTCTCTGCATCCATGACAACACCTGTTGCTTCCTGTGTTGTTAATTTTAGCCACTCTGACAGGTGTGAGGTGATATCTCGTAGTTTGATTTGCATTTCCCTAATGAGCGATGCTGAGCACCTTTTCATATGTTTGTTAGCTATTTGGATGTCTTCTTTGGGAACATGTCAATTCACATCTTCTGCCCATTTTTTAACTGGGTTGCTTTTTCGGTGTTGAGTTGTATAAGTTCTTTATATATTTTGGATACTAGTCCTTTATCAGATATGTCATTTGCAAATATCTTCTCCCATTCCATAGGTTGCCTTTTAGTTTTGTTGATTGTTTCCATCACTGTGCAGAAGCTTTTTATCTTGATGAAATCCCAAGAATTTATTTTTGCTTTTGTTTCCCTGCCTCAGGAGACATACCTAGTAAGAAGTTGCTACAGCTGATGTCAAAGAGGTTACTGCCTGGGTTTTCCTATAGGATTTGGATGTTTTCCTATCTCACATTTAGGTCTTTCATCCATTTTGAATTTATTTTTGTGCATTGTGCAAGAAAGTGGTCTAGTTTCATTCTTATGCATGTTGCTCTCCAGTTTTCCCAATATCATTTGTTGAAGACACTATCTTTTTCCATTGGATATTCTTTCCTGCTTTGTCTAAGATTAATTGCTCATATAGTTGTAGGTTCATTTCTGGGTTTTCTATTCTGTTCCATTGATCTATGTGTCTGTTTTTGTGTCAGTACCATACTGTTTTGATCACTACACCTTTGTAATATGGCTTGAAGTCTGGAATCGTGATGCCTCCAGCTTTGCTTTTCTTTTTCAAGAATATTTTGGCTATTCGGGGTCTTCTGTGGTTCTATACAAATTTTAAGATTGTTCTAGTTCTGTGAAAAATGCTGGTGGTATTTTGATAGGATTACATTCAATGTGTAGATTGTTTTGGGTAATATAGACATTTTAACAATATTTGTTCTTCCAATCTATGAGCATGGAATATCTTTCCATTTCCTTGTGTCATCTTCAATTTCTTTCATGTTTGTTTTCAGAGTACAGAACTTTTACCTCTTTGGTTAGGTTTATTCATAGGTATCTTGTGGTTTGGGTGCAATTGTAAATGGGATTGATTCCTTGAATTCTCTTTCTGCTGCTTCATTATTGGTGCATAGAAACACAACAGACTTCTGTACATTGGTTTTACATCCTGTGATTTTACTAAATTCGTGTATCAGTTCTAACAATTTTTTGGTGGAGTCTTCCAGATTTTCAATATAGAGTATCATGTCATCTGTAAATAGTGAAAGTTTGACTTCTTCCTTGCCAATTTCGATGCTTTTATTTATTTTTGTTGTCTGATTGTTATGGCTAGGACTTCCAGTACTATGTTGAGTACAAGTGGTGAGAGTGGACATTCTGTCTTGTTCCTGACTTTGGGGAAAAGGCTCTCTTTTTTCCCAATTGAGGATGATGGTTTCTGTGGGTTTTTCACATATAACCTTTATTATGTTGAGGTATGTTCCCTCTAAACCTACTTTGTTGAGGGTTTTTATCATGAATAGATGTTGTAGTTTGTCAAATGCTTTTTCTGCATCTATTGAAAGGATCATATGGTTCTTATCCTTTCTTTTATTAGTGTGGTGTATCACGTTGATTGATTTGCCAATATTGAGCTACCCTTGCCATCTAGGAATAAATCCCACTTGATTGTGTTGAATGATTCTCTTAATGTACTGTTGGATTTGATTTGCTAGTATTTGAGAATTTTTGTGTTCATGTTTATCAGGGATATTGGCCTGTAGTTCTCTTTTTAGTGGAGTCTTTGTCTGGTTTTGGTATCATAGTGATGCTGGCCTCATCAAATGAATTTGGAAGTTTTCCTTCCATTTCTACTTTTTTGGAATAGTTTGAGAAGAATAGGTATTAACTCTTCTTTAAATGTTTAGTAGAGGGGTGCGTGGGTGGCTCAGTTGTTAAGCGTCTGCCTTCCGCTCAGGTTGTGATCCCGGGGTCCTGGGATTGAGCCCCACGTCTGGCTCCCTGTTCGGCAGGAAGCCTGCTTCCCCTTCTCCCATTCCCCTTGCTTGTGTTCCTGGTCTCGCTATCTCTCTGTCAAATAAATAAATAAAATCTTTAAAAAAAATACACTATGAATGTAGTAGACTTCTCCTATGAAGTCATATGGTCCTGGACTTTTGTTTATTGGGAGATTTTTGATTACTGATTCAATTTCTTTGCTGGTTATTAATCTATTTAAGTTTTCTATTTCTTCCTGTTTCACTTTTGGTAGTTTGTATGGTTCTAGGAATTTATCCATTTCTTCCAAGTTGTACAATTTGTTGGCATATAATTTTTCATAATACTTTCTTACATAATTTTTTGTATTTCTGTGGTATTGATTGTGATTTCTCCTCTCTCATTTGTGATTTTATTTATTTGGGTCCTTTTACTTTTCTTTTTGATAAGTCTGGCTAGGGGTTTATCAATTTTATTAATTTTTTTTCAAAGAATCAGCTCCTGGTTTCATTGATCTGTTTTATTTTTTATTTTTTTGGCAAAATAATCTTAAAAATTTAGATTAAAGAAATTTTATATGTTACAAATCTAAAGTGGAGGATATGTATACATATATACATATGTATATGTATGTGTATATATACACACACACATCTAAAAATACAAGGAACATTCTGTACATTACAGAATGAATGTACATTACATTCTGTTCATTATGTTTAAAATAGTACCTGGAACATAATAGGTGTGTAATAAATGCTTGTTAAAAGGACAAATTAATAGATGTGAATAGAGAAGATACATGTGTAAGAGATTTGATCAATAAGACTTGGTCACTCATAGAAGTAAAATGTGAAGAATTGAGAAGAACTCTTGGGGTTTTCTAAGGCTTTAGAAGGCTTGGTGGTGGCATTCATTAAAGTTTGAGACTCCAGGAAGAGGCACAAATTTGGCAGGAAGGATAATGAATTCAGATTTTACCATTTTGAGGCAGTGTAGCAGACAGCAAAGTGAAGCTGTCTGACAAGCACTGGCTGTAAAACAGATGCATTTGGTGGAAAAGTTTGAGCTGGAGTTACAGAAGTTATGATGTAGGAGGGGCCAGAGAGGTAAACTAGATCATCCAGGTGGAGCTGTTCAATGAAAGAAAAAGCAGAAACCTTGCAGAACAATATTTTAGGACCAACAGTATAACAGGGTCTTGGAAAACAGGCTGGAAAAGCAGGAATAAAGCAGCAGGCCCAGAGAGTAGTGAATTTCAAGAAAAATGGAGTGGTCATTAAGGTCAAATACTGCAAATAAGTCCAGCCATTTGAGCAATAAAAGAAGTAGATGGATTTGTAAATTAGGAAATTGTCTGTGACTCTTACATGAGCTAGTTCAGTGGAGCTATGTGAATGAATTACCGTCTATACTTACTGTAGGCTGAGAAATAAGTAGGAGGTAAGAAAGTGAAGATAGTGAATACAGACTGTGGACTACATTCTGATGCACTATGGATATTAAAAAAAGGGGAGCAAGAGAACATGTTACTCAGTGTTTGCTAAAGTCAGCTGACTTAAACGTGGGACTTATGGGGCAGTGGATCAGCAATCTTCAAACTGATGTATGCACTCTTGAAGTCCACAAAAACTTTACAAAGTTCATGGGCGTAGAATTTTAAGAGATTCAATGTCCACATACTCACCTCCCATACTTACTGTTTCCTAATATTAATCGGCCTGAGAACGTCAGTTAAAACATCATGCATGTCTTTTTTTCCCCATTTTCCTTTTGTAACCAAACTTCTCTCATTTTAGAAAACAAAATCATACCTTATATCCAATCTGGTATTCATCATCCCAGGGTGTGAAAGTTCCTGGAACACCAAACAAAAAGAAAATTTGTATTGATGATAAGAAAGAGAATGTCTCTAATGGCTCAAAAACAAATCCTTTTGAAAGTCAAGGCATTTCTAATTCTTTGCTTTCAAAACAATTGAAGAAGTTAATAGATCATTAAAATATACTTTTTGATAATAGATCACCATGTGATTTTTGGCATAAACTTGAAAGGAGTGCAAATAGTTGAGTTATATTGCTAATATCAAAACTTCCATTCCCATCTGTCCTATACCACATTGTTATGCGACCAGTTGTGCTCAGTAAAACAACAAAGACTTAAATCCGTGCTTAACACTGCCTTCTGCCATAAATAATATTCATTGTTACATAAACAAAACAAAACAAAACAAAACAAAACAAAACAATAAAAAAGAATTCCAGCGTGTATAAAGGAAAGCATTGGGAAAGACAAAAGCATTGGCAGTTAAATTGAAGAAGTGTTGAGATAGGTATCAGATGAAAGGAAAGGTCAGTAAAGGGTGTGAATGTTATGCTAGACTGGATAAACAGTGACAGTGGGATTAATGTCCCCAGGTTTGAAGGTTCTAAGTAGAGACTGGCAGAGGCCTCAGGTGGTATGAGTGGTCCAACGAGGCCAACTAACTGTAACTCTAGTTCTTCCTCAGTATCATTCCAATTTTAGTATATGTGTCCAAGCAAGCACTAGTTCTTCCTCAGGATTCATGATATAGAAAGGCATTCAAGTCAATGTTGACTGTGATTGGATGAATCCTGAAGAGAACCCTCTCATCAGATGGTGTGAGGAGATTCAATACATGTAAGAAAACTCAATCCACCATTTAAGAAGTAAGAGCTTGACTGTTTTCTTCAGTGCAGTATTCTGAATGTTTGGAACACTGCCTGGAGTAGTGCTCAAATACTTTCTCTTGAATGAATTGTCAGTGATTAGAGGTAGCCAAGACTTCCAAATCTTAACTTAGTGGAACGAATTTGTGTTGCCAATTTGTAATAAAGCCTATTTGAATTTATATATTATTTGTTCACTCCATATAGACTGGGACAAAAATAGGTCCCAATTATGTATTTATGTTTATATAATTTAGTTTGAAAATTCTCTTCCAAATATATCTCATATCTCTTTCATTACCTAAAATGAGGGATAGAGGTACTACATATTACCAAAAGAAGTATAAATCAAATGATAATATTATTAAATTATATTCTATATACTATAATTATTTGTTTATGGCATTATGTGTTAGAGAGTATTTGTATGTCTGGATGACAGCAGAGAATAGGCTGAAACTGCAAATCAGAGTTGGTGCCATCAGGTTGAAAATGTCACAGATTTAGCTTTTAATAAGCCAGAATGATTGTGTAAAATAAGATGACTAGCAACAATCTCCTACTGATATTCTTGGGAACATGGGGATACTTTGAAGTTAAGAACTATTTTTAGATTAAAAGACTTGATATTTTCTGTCAATTAAAATGACTATAATTAACAGCTATGACTAGAGTTATTTAATTGCAAATTATAAAAAATCCAACTTTAATTAGTTTTAATGATAAGGGGGAATTTATTGGCCCAGAAAAGTAGGAAGCCCAGAATGCATGTAGCTTTAGCACAGCTGGATGCAGGAGCTTAAATAATATCATCAAGATACCCCTGTTTCTTCCTCTCTTGGCTTTCTTAGTGTTGCATTTATTTCTAAGAAGATTTTCCCCACTTGGGTGGCCAAGAGAGCATCAATAATCCAAACTTGCTTAGTACTTAGTGCTTTTAAACTCTGAAGGAGAAGATGGATCTTTTTGCTGATAGTTTAAAAAAAAAAGCTGGGAGAGATTTTATGGGCCTGATGCAGGCCATGTATCCAGCCATGAAACATTCATGATGGTCAGCACAATGCAATACCCTGAGTGATCAGATCTGGATTTTTGGTATCCCTGTAGAAAAGTTTGGTGGTGAGGTATTCCCTACCTGAACCACATGGATTGAAAATAACAGACTGTTACCAGACAAAATAATATGACATCTAAAATCTTTTTTGCATATTACATTGTACTAATTAACCACATCATAAAAAATGATGCATCAAATAGACTAAACAGCTACAACAAAGAATTAAATATACAGTGGCCTCTAAGATCAATCAGAATTTGAGGTTCCTTATATTTTGTTGTTTCTTGTTTCCTACTGCCAAAGTTAGCTCATTGGCAGCAGTCCCCAGGAAGGAGGAAAGGGGATATAGAAGAAGAAAAAAAAGAGAAAGCAACTTCTGTTTAAGGAAATGATCCAGAAGTAGCACACATCACTTCTGATCATATCCCACTGGTCAGAACATGGTCATATAACCACTGGTGGTGGCAAGGGAAGCTAGTAAATATGACATCAAGCTGTGTAACAGTGTGCTCAGCGGGATTCTTATTACTAAAAGGAAGAAGGTATAAATGTATAATGGGAAAAGTAGTTGTTTCTGCGATGGTTCTTTTTTCAACCTTTACAAACTTGAATAGGGGAAAATTTTTAAATTACTTTTACTATGGAAAGCATTGCTAAAACATGTATTTATATGGGAAAAGAGTAAAGGGAATTTTCACTTTCATAATAAAAGAAAAAGTTTCAGTATAAGTGTTTAGTACATTTTAAAGTCCCTTACAGATGGTGGCACTGCTGAAGGATGCTTTAATTTTTGACATTACTATGGATATTTTAGACATAATATTAACACATATTTTTCATTTATAAAAGAATGGATATTGATGCTCTTAAAATTATAAATATTTTGGTTTTGAACTTTTTTATGTCATTGACTAGTATATCTACATTTTTAGAAAACATGGAATTTACTATCTTGCATTTGTAAGGAATCAAATTGCTGTAATATGTACTATAAAAGAGTAGATTAAAAATTCAAGTCAAATGGAATTGCAAGATTGTATCTCTTTCTAATGCTAAAAGCTTACTGAGCTGGAAAAAGTATAATTTAACATATCACCCACTTGCCAAAAAAAAAAAAAAAGATGCCTGGCTTGGATTTCATCCAGGAAGACATCTGTTTGCCTAGAACTAATAATAGTACAACCCTAATGATATGCCAAACAAGTTATTTTAATAGAAATGTTTTGTTTTGAGAGGTTAAGTTTGGTTACTCAGCAGAACTGCTGTGTTTATAAGGGTATTATGTTTGATTCTGCAATAGGGAACACATATCCCACTGAAGGCAAGTTTGGGAAATTTGGTGGAAGTTGCTGTACATTTTACAGCTAACCTAACAGAGTACTCTTGATCTCTAAATGACCTCTCAATCAACCACATTAGAAGATTGGAGGCAAGGTGGTAGGAAATCACTATTCAAATTTTAGAATAGATATTGGAGATTGTCCATTGCTTTTAAAAAGCACAAATATTCATTTACATGCCTATTAGCTGTTTCTCAAAATCTACTCAAAAATCCTGCTTGGTTCATTTTAGTCCCATTCTTTCTTTCTTTTTTTTTTTTTTTTAAGGTTTTATTTATTTATTTTGACAGAGAGAGAGACAGTCAGAGAGGGAACACAAACAGAGTGAGTGGGAGAGGAAGAAGCAGGCTTCCCGCTGAGCAGAGAGCCTGATGTGGGGCTTGATCCCAGGACCCTGGGATCATGACCTGAGCCGAAGGCAGCCACTCAATGACTGAGCAACCCAGTGCCCTAGTCCCATTATTTCTTACTCCTAATTTTCCTGCTCTAAAATGTCAAAACATTTAGATAAAATGAAGGGATAGTCAAATGTTTAAGATTTTTTTTTTTTTTTTTTTTGCGAGAGAGAGAATGAGAGAGAGAGAGCACGAGAGGGAGGAGGGTCAGAGGGAGAAGCAGACTCCCCGCTGAGCAGGGAGCCCGATGCGGGACTCAATCCCGGGACTCCAGGATCATGACCTGAGCCGAAGGCAGTCGCTTAACCGACTGAGCCACCCAGGCGCCTAGAATAGTCAAATGTTTAAATGCTTGGTCTATGTGATTTTAAACATCTAGATTTTTAAAATCATAGAAAAGATTGAATTTCTCAGATTTTATTCATAATTGCTATTGTATATATTTACTATGTTATAACTTTTTAAAGAACCACTGCCATGTGAACCAGGCCAAAAGGGGTAATGTCGTAGGGAAGGTCATTTATAAGCTTTTTAGGCCTGTTGCCTAGTTTTAGTGACTGTTCTGTTCAATTTTAATTGTGCCAATACTGTTTCATTTAAGCACTAGATCAATGGCTAATACACATTTAGAAATATGTTCATCCAATACAATTTTGGTTTTTAATTCAGAGGCATCATCTAAACCAAAAATGGGAAGCTAAAGTGTCTCTTTTAACAACATTAAGAAACAGGCTTAACTACTGTAAAAAAATATTTAGGGGGCACCTGGGTGGTGCAGTTGGTTAAACACCAACTTTTGGTTTCCACTCAGGTTGTGATCTCAGGGTGGTGAGAGGGAGCCCTGCACTGGGCTCTGCCCTCAGCACGGAGTCTGCTTAAGACTCTCTCTTTCTGGGGAGCCTGGGTGGCTCAGTTGGTTAAGGGACTGCCTTCGGCTCAGGTCATGATCCTGGAGTCCCGGGATCGAGTCCCGCATCAGACTCCCTGCTCGGCAGGGAGCCTGCTTCTGCCTCTGACCCTCCCCCCTCTCATGTGCTCTCTCTCTCTCATTCTCTCTGTCTCAAATAAATAAATAAAATCTTAAAAAAAAAAAAAAGAGTTAAAAAAAAAAGACTCTCTCTTTCTCTCTCTCTGCCCCTCCCCCCAATAAATAAAGAAATCTTTAAAAAAAGAAAATATTTAATGTTTTATATTTTACTTTCTTGAATAGATTATTGATATACTTGAAGAAGTATAAACAAGCTAAACTAAGGTTTTCTATGTAAGAAATTTCTTTTTTATAAGATTAACATTTTCTAAAAGTTTTTGTACTGAAATGTAACTGCTAGTATGTGTAATTGATCACATTTTTACATTAACTAGCCATCCTCAAATGG